CAGAGAAAGGACCTCGGAGATCATCTAGACCAGCGGACCCCAACCAAGGGCCGTTCTGTGTGCCCAGGGGTCGGTCACCTGAACTGGTCAGAGCCCGAGGAACACCTCAAGCAGAGGTCAGGGATGCTGTTCAACACCTCACAGTGCTCAGGACGGCCCCCAGCACAGAGGATGAGCCAGCCCCGAAGTCCAGAGTGCCGAGGGGGAGAGATCCGGTTCGTGGCCAAGGACCCCATCTTACCGACCAGGACGCTTCAGGCCTGCAGACAGCCACAGGCTGAAAGAGCTGACCCCGGACCCTAGCTCCAGAGGCACAGGCCCCAGGGCTACACGCCGCACGGCAGCGCGCTGAGGAGCCCGGCCCGAGTGGAAGGAGAGGTCATGGCCCTGTCCCCTGTAACCTGCGACCCGGCCTGAGTCTCGGGCAGCACCAGGCGGCCTCAGGTGCCCCTCTGATGGGGCGACCCCTCCCGTTCCTGGGAGCCGACTTAAACATATCGTGCTAGCTTCTTTGTATCACAGGATTTAGTGTCTTGCTTCTGTTGATGGCAGGACCATAAGGTCTTCTTTCAAGTTAATTTAAGGACCAGGCGAGTTGAACTAGAGGCAAGAGCGAACAGGAGACGGGGCTCTGACGGCAGACGGCCGGAGCCCGGGGCCGGGACGTGAGCACCGCTGAAGCTCACAGGGGTACGAAGGCCACGGAGAAATCAATTAGCAGCACAAGAGGGTCTGATGCTACCGGCACGTTCCAGAAACAAGTCCCCCACCCAGAGAAGGTGGATCTTGCTTGACTGAACACTGGAGGGGACAAGATACCCCCGCACTACGGGGACAAAGACACAGAGATACAAAAGGACCCACTGATCTGGCTTCTTCCATAAAGAGGAAATCCATCAAGATCGAAGCCATGTGTAGCTTCCACTCAGCTCTCTTATAGCTGGAATTTTCTCTGTGGCAGGATTCAGGATCCTCGGGCCTGCTGACATTTGGGGCTGGATCACTCCTTGTGGGAGAGAGCCGTCCTGGCCACTGTAGGGCGCAGAGCAGCACCCGTGTCTCCTGCCTGCTCGGTACCAGTAGCCACCCAGTCGTGACAACCACGGATGTCCCCAGATGTCACATGGGGTCTCCTGGGAGCAGAATCGTCCCTGGCTAAGAACCACAGAACTCCCAGAAGATCAGAAGATGTATATAAAAATGTTCAGGGGCGCCTGGGTGGCTCAGTCGGTTAAGCATCCGACTTCGGCTCAGGTCACGATCTCACGGTTCGTGGGTTCGAGCCCCGTGTCGGGCTCTGTGCTGACGGCTCAGAACCTGGAGTCTGCTTCAGAATCTGTGTCTCCCTGTGTCTCTGCCGCTTCCCTGCTTGCTCTCTGTCTCTATCTCAAAAACAGTAAACATTAAAAAAATTTAAAAAAAAAATGTTGGCCATAGCACCGTTCATAACAAAAGGCGAGACCCAAACCAAACACCGGCAACAGCCGAAGTGTCGGTAGGTGTGGAACCAGTTAAACACGCCGTGGCCCATCATCACCCCAGGGACAGCGAGTCACCAGAGTCCTCTGTGTCCTGACTGCAACGGACAGAAAGTTCGTACCCCCAAATTCAAATGTCAAATCCTACCCGAAGGCGCTGGTGGGGGGAGGTGGGGCCTCCGGGAGGGGATTAAGTCAGGAGGGCGGGAGCCCCGGGACTGAGACGAGCGTGTCCTCATGACAGAGGCCCAGCGAGCGCCCTGCCCTTCTGCCCTGTGAGCACGCGGGGAGAGGACAGTGGTCGTGAGCCAGGAGGCAGGTTCTCAACAGACGCCGTATCCGCTGGCGCCCCGGCCTTGGACGGCTCGCCTTCAGAACCCGGAGGAAAAGAGGTCAGTTGTTCCCCAGCCCCCCGGGCCTGTGGGGTCCTGTCAGAGCGGCCTGAACGGCTTGGGACACGACTATCGACACAAAAGGCTCTGCGGTTTGTTTTAAGCGAAAAGAGCCGAGAGCAGAAAAGCAGGCAGACCGTGGCTC